TAAGGGACTGAAGACATTCAATTCGAGTTTTTATTAGTAAAATTTCAATGTCGATCAGCCAAAATTTCTGGCAAAACAATCTGCCCCTTAATTTTTAGGATTTGCACACTGACTGTTATTCCTGCAATATATTTTATAATTTTGTTTTTATTTTAGGTCTCGACCGCAATTGATGATATGTATTCTCTCGTGGAGTTGAATGTTCTGGTAATTTTTACGAATAATCTTAATATAGTTCATGAGTCAACAATAACACAGTATATGTTTTTTTTAAGCAAATTGATGCAATAGGTTGGCAGGAGGATGCCAATGCAAATATTAGGGACGTTAGAAAGGGACAAGGACAGGGATCTGCAAATTTTGCCTGTACCCTGTCCTTTTCTAAATTTCCCTATCAAATTTTGAAAAGGACAGGCGAGTGGCACAGGAGAAATGTAAAAATTTTAGAAAAGGACAGGTGACAGGTGTGGCACATACAAGGTACAGGTGACATGTACCCTGTCCTTTTCTAAAATTCTCTGCAAAATTTAGAAAGGGACAGGGTACAGGGATTGACTACATATATCTTTTTAATTTTTTTTTATTTATTTTTGATAATTACATTAATAAAAATTATTTTTTTGTATTTTTAATTCTACTACTACGACAAACTACAGCAGTGTTATCTTTAATAGTCCTGGATCTAAAGAAAATATGGAAATTTTGTTAAGAATATTAATAAATGAATGCATTATTACTATTACAGTAAGTCATTAATAATTACTTTTTATTTTTTTTATCAACTTCGGGTTCCTCTTCCTCTTCCTCTTCATTTTTACCTTTGTTAAAATACTGATGGCTTTTATCAGTGAAATATTCAATTACTAGAAAAAATACAACATTATTAATCAATTGATGACGAAACAACCAACTTTTTTCATAAAAATCTACTTACAGTCTATCCCTGAATGAATCTTTTCATCAAGAATGTTTATATTATGATTATTTAATTTTTCCATAAAAGTTCCTGTGGATAATTCAATGGAAGTAATTATTATTAATTAATTTTTTTTAAAAATTTAAAAGTTATTTAAACAATACTAACTTGCTCAGCTATCAGAATAGATGGAATGACTATTAAAATCATTTAATTTATAAGCAACTAATACAGTCTGTGGCTTGTATCCTGATAGAGTGGTTGGATCATTGGATATTAATACAGCCGTCCCCTCATTTAAGTCATCATACTTGTAGACACCACTTTGATTGTTAAAGCTTCGAATTACTTCACTGTAGAAATGCTGTCCACTTGATGATGTGCTGTATACACATGCTGTCAATGTATATTCTATAGTGATCTCATTTTCTTGATAACAAAGCTGAAAAGGGAAATCCAATTGTTCTGACGAGTGATAATTAGCACCATCTCTTTGGGTTATTTCAAATATCAAGGTATATGGCAAAGAGATTATGTATTCTTCGTAGAATATTTTTCTGCTGGTACATTGATGAAGGTTTGCACGATTATAAGGACAAGGTCGATCTGGAAGTATATTGTTGATAAATTCATTCTTTTTTGCAAATAATGCAGAAACTTGTCCAACCAGGTTTTGGTTATTCTTGAAAAAAGAGCTATCAAAATCATCAATTCCATTTATTGGAAATAATGGTTTAATGGGTGTTGGTGCAACTTTGACATGACCAGATTCACATGACCAGATTCGCAATCCAAGAGCACAAAACTGTGTCATAAGTTTTATTGATTCTTTTTCTTCTGAGATAATACTTTCAAACCAATAGGATAATGATCCAAACTCATTATCTTTTTGCCATTTTTTTCCTAGAACATGGTGGTGAACAATTTCACGGGCTTCATTGAAGGTAGATTTTGTATTTCTAGTTCCTAGAGTATTAACAGTATCTCAGATAGTAAAACTAATATATAATTTTTTTAATCCAGAGTCATGTGTAATTGTTCCAACATTGGTTGACCACCATGGAATTGCATGAAGGTAGTTTACATACAATAATTCCAAGAATGATGTAATATAACATGAGTTTCACCAATGTGGATATGATTGATATTTTTTGGGAAGTTCAATTACTTTTGGTTTTTCTTTTTTATTGCTAACATCTAAATTTTTATCATTAGATGGTTTATTTTTTAAAATGGCTTCAGCAGTATCTGGTGATCTACAATCATTTACACCAGCACCTTTGGATTTCTTTCCTCTAGATGATTCGGTTGTTCCATATAATTCTGCAACTTTTTTCCATGGTTCATCATGACCATATTTCAAGGAATGCCTTTACTTTTGTTTTCATAATCAACTTCCAAAGCTATTACAAACAAAAGAAGGTTCTCAAGACCTAAATGAAATAAGTTCAAGGTTAATAAATAATCAATTTGTCAATTAAGTTAATAAATTATTTTTTATAAAATAAATACCTGTGATAATTGACTGATTTGTAGCTCCACACATGTAATATAGAGAATGCATAGATTCTTGCGCATTTGTTGAATTTGGCAGTATTTTGGATAGATCCTCATCCATAGAACTTAGTGCAGGAAAAAGGATTTTTCCTGCATCAGTATAAATCCACCATTCCAACCAAGTAACAATGTTTGACCAATTTTTCTTTATTTACTGAAGTTAGTGGTAAAGAAACTAGCACAAGAACTGTTCATAGAAGTTTGCATGAACTTGGAAATTTTTCGAGGGCCACTGCTGTTAAACCTATACATGCAGCCCAAATTGGTTTGGTGATTTTGATGGTCAAAATTATTCCAATTTTGATGGTAGAAAGTAGAAATTAATTACGGCATTCACTATTAAAAACATAAGTGTAACACCCCTTTACTACATGTGTAACCCCCTTTATGACAGTGTCAAAATACTTTGGGCTGCATGTATAGTTAAACCACTTCTAACATAAAAAAATAAAAAAGGAGAATTGGTTAAAGTGATGTTTAGAAGGGAGACATTTGATGGTAGAAGACTGGTGCAAAGTGATTTGAGTGATGAATCACACTTTACAATCTTCCAAAGTGGTGGACCAAGACATGTTTGGCGTACTAATGGTCAGCATCATAATATTGAAAATATTGTCCCTTCAGTTAAACATGGTGATGGTGGCATAATGGTTTGGGGATGCTTTTCCGGAAAGAGATTAGTCTATTAGTAAAAATAGAGGGTAAAATCAATCAAAAAAATTTTTGTTGTCATTGATTAAAAGAAAATTTCATGGAGATTATACATTCCAAGATGGCAATGCACCAGTACATACTGTAAAAGATGTACAAAATTGGATTGGAAGAAAAAAATAAAAATTTTGTCTGATTGGCCTTCTCAACCTCCAGATCTCAACATCTGTGGACGAATTTGATAGAAGATTAAAAAAACAGGAAAGATATCCAAAAAATGCTTCAGAGTTAGAGCATGCATCGAAAAAAGAATATGCAGGAATTCCTTGTGAAAGGTATTATAAATTAATTGAAAGTATAACCTAGAAGGATCGAGACATCCATAGAAAAAGATAGGTGCCTATTTGTTATTAATTTTTCATTCTTCATTCAAGAAAATTTTGTTATTTTTTTTACTGATTCAAAATCATGAAAATTTATACACATCTTTGTCTAACCTATGTGCCAATAGTATAAATCTATGTAGTGGTTCAGTGCCCGAAAGCTTTTGTGTGTATGTAATATATTAATATTAAAAATTTTTTTTTGATTAATAAAATGTCAAGATTACGTCATTAGAAAAAAAATTTCCATGCATGTTTTATTGGATAAATAATGTAAAAAGCCATGTTATCTGTAACACTCCAAGAAGTACAAATACACTTGGAACTCCCTTCAGTGTAAAAATAAACTAAAAATCTTTGAATAATATATAATATGGGGCAGACTGCAACAAAACCAGAAAAAGTGAACATTGGTATTACCAAGGATTTCAGGGATCAAAATTTAGTCATTTGTAATGCGATCATAATTAACAGTTTTATAATATCCCATTTGTTATCTTAAGTGATATATAGAACTATCCCTGTATAAAAATAGTTAATATGAAACTCATTTACATTAAGTCTACATGGAACCCAAAAATTACAGCACCATTAGAAGTATTTTGAAAAAGGAACAAGGTGAAAAAATTGCTCCTTACATTTTAAATTAGCAGATACCAAATCTTTGCAAACACATTTTAGACAAAGAAAGGATTACCTATGAAATTTATCAAGAGGAAAGAGCTTTCAAAAGAGTATTAGAGAATTTTAGTAAGGAATAAAAAAAAAAAAGAAAACTGGCAGAATAAAAAACTAAAACAAACAATTACTTTTTTTTCAACTTTGTTAATTTTTAATTACCTTTTATTTTCAATCAAAGTCATTTTTTAGTTTCTTTAACTTCAATTTGAGCAATTTGTTGGGTTTGCTGTTTCTTTAACTGTTCAACTTCACTTTCAAGTCTTTGAATTTTATCTAATAATTCTTGGTTTTGCTTATTATGTCAATCCTTTGAAACTTCTGAGGTATCCAAATGAGAACTGATTTCTTCCTTAGCACTGGATAGTTGCTGTTTTAAGTCTTTATTCTGCTGTTCCAATCTGCC